GTTGAGCACAATAGAAGGTATCTTTCTGAGTTAAAGGGTTAGTTTGAAATCCCTCCCCACAACCCCCCTTCCCCATCTCTGCTGTGCTTATCTCTGTAGGTGATGGGCTGTCAATGCCTACACAGCCCATGTAGTACTTCAAAGATCTGAAATCCCGCACTCCTCTGCCTCTTATTTCTGCATTTCTAGGACAGATCACAGCGATTCAGATTGGTCAGCTCCATCACGGAAAATCGCTCTGACCTGTTTCTGTAGCTGAAGGGAGAAGAGCAAGAAGAGCAGGGATTTCAAATCACCGACTGTATGGGCACTGACACCTCATCACACCCACAGAGGTAAGTACAGCGGGAACGTGGAGGGCTGGAGTATATGGTGTACAGTGTTAGGTCCCTTTTTAATTTTTCTGAAAAGATGAACTTGCAATTTAAAGTAGTATTAAACCTAAATGAAAACATTTATTATATTGCAGCTTGCCAATTCTTATATGTGATGGCTGCATTAGTTTTCTTTTTTAGGCTTTTTCTTTTTCTTATTTTCATCTGGTGATCCAGCAGGTAAGTCTGTTGTTTTTCAGAATCACAAGCTCTTGTCACCTTCTCATCAAGCTGCTTGGCGATAGTTTGGTAGCCCAGTCCAGCCTTGTGTAGGTCTACAATCGTGTCCCTGACATCCTTGGACAGCTCTTTGGTCTTTGCCATGGTGGAGAATTTGGAATCTGATTGTTTGATTGCTCCTGTGGACAGGTGTCTTTTATACAGGCATCAAAATGAGATTAGCAGCACTCCCTTTAAGAGACTGCTTGTAATCTCAGCTTGTTTCCTGTATGAAAGACACCTGTTAGCCAGAAAGTCCTGCTGAATGATAAGGGATCAAATACTTATTTTCCTCATGAACATGAAAATCAGTGCATAATTTGTTAGACATGCTTTTCTTTTGAATTTGTTGTTGCTATTCTATCTCTCAGTGTTACAATACACCTACCATTCAATTTTTAGACTGATCATTTCTTTGTGAGTGGGCAAACATTCAAAACTCAGTAGGGGATCAAATACTTATTTCCTTCACTGTATATCTCAAAAGGGAAAAAAAAGTTTGCTTTCACTGATTATAACGTGTGAACTGGAGTTTGGCTTCAATGTATATTTCAAGTGGTCCTGAAGGCTGAAGGTTTTTTTTACCTTCTTGCATTCCTTCAGTATGTAGCTCCCAGCCCCCCTTTATTCTTATCTGAGCCCGATCTTGATCCAGTGATGTGCACAAGAGTGGTGGCTCTCCTCATCCACATTGGCTTAGACACAGCAGTGACAGCTATTGGCTCCTACTGCTGTCAATCACAGCCAGAGAGAGAGAGGAGGGGTGGGGCTGAGCCGTGCTCTGTATGTCTTATGGGACACACAGAGGCGGCTTGGGAGTGACCTATACAAGTGCCCCCATAGCAAGCGGCTTGTTATGGGGGACTTTTCAGGGGGGAGCCAGGAGCACTGGAAAAAAGGAGGATTGGGGCTGCTCTGTGCAAAACAATTGCACAGAGCAGGTAAATATAAATGTTTGTTATTTGATTTAACCACTTACCCGCTGACCTGGGCATTAATGCAGAGTGGCTACATATATGTGGCCTTAAGTAAATACCTTACTGCGCTGATAAGTGCGCTCCCTACATGCTCACAGCACAGTAACAAGCAGGTACCGGACACAATCAAAATTCCCACCTCTGCCTCCCTGCATTTAGATCCTTTTAAAGAGCAAGAAGGTGGCGGTGTGAAGGGGTTAAAAAAATGTTTATAACCCATTTAAAGTTGTTGTAAAGGTATTCTTTTTTTCTTTAAAATAACAAACATGTTATACTTACATGCTTTGTGCAATGGTTTTGCACAGAGCACTCTGATCCTCTTCTTCTCGAGTCCCCCTCTGCTGCTTCTGGCCCCTCCACCTTGCTGCTTGCTTTGGGGACACTCATATGTGCTTGCTCCCGAGCCAGCTCTGTGTCTATGGGACACAAATAGCGTGGATCAGTCCCGCCCCCTCCTTACTGGCTGTGATTGACAGCAGCGGGAGCCAATGTCTCAGCCAATGAGGAGAGAGAGACCCAGCAGAGCCTCTGCTTTTGTCAATATCACTGAATCAAGATCGGGCTCAGGTAAGTATTAAACTACTTTCACATTGATTTGTGGCAAAAAAGCAGCAAGAATGTAAGTGCTTTTGCCGTGTTTTTTACCACGTTTGCGGTTCATTTTTTACAAGACATGACCCAGAAAACGCACCAAAATCACAACACAGATGCATTTTTGCTGTGTCCACTTCCAATTCCTTTCATTTCAATTAGGTGTGTTTTTGCTGCAGTTTTTTTACCTCCCTAAAAAAGCAGCAAGCAGGATTTTTAAAAAAAACCACAGTAGACCTGCAACAGATCAGTGTGAAGAGTTCCATAGGATCACATGGACACATTTTTCTTCCACTTTTATTAATGCAGAACAAAAACAGATCAGTGTGAAAGCACCTTGGGGGGGCTCAGGGGCTGTGGGGGAGCTGCACACTGAAGGTTCTTTACCTACAGCATTTGGAACCACTTTAAAGCAGAACTGCGGTTAAATCTTTTATGTTTCCATGCAGTGCCCACACTGCATGGGTTAAGTGCTTGTTTTCTCCAGAGGTTCAGGGAAAAGCTGTACTTACCCATTCCTCTGATCCGCTGAAAACCCACGCTCCCCCATGAGCAGCGGTGGACTGTTCCTGCCATCCTCATGTCCTGAGCTGGTCTATGGGCATGATGATGTCAGGAACAGCTCATTCACAAAACTGCTAGTGTGTGGGGGGGAGTGCAGGAGCAGTTGGAGGATTGGTATAAGTCAGCATTTTTCAATCAGGGTGCCCAGGCGTATTCTACTACATGCCTTTGCTTAAAAAAATCCCAATACATGTAAATTAATTAGTTGACGTGAACGTTATTGTGTTTACAAATGGCGGTATAGATACTGGAATTACATTTTTTTTTATACTAGTAATGACAGCGATCCGCAACTTATAGAGGGACTGGGCGGGCATTCTGACACTGGGTGGGAACCGGCTAACCTCCTTTGACATCCCAATGACACTAATACAGTGATCAGTGCTAATACAAAGCACTGACACTGTACTAATGACAATAGGAAGGGGTTAAAGCGGAGTTCCATCTTAAAAAAAATAATAAATAAAAGCAGCTACAAAAACTGTAGCTGCTGACTTTTAAAATACAGCCACTTACCTGTCCCTGGTCCAGTGGTGTCTTCACCACCGCTGATTTCACCGCCATCTTCTCTCCCTGGTGCCAGCATATTCAGTGTGGGCACCCGGCTGTGACAGCTTGTGGCTTCACAGCTGGGTGCCCACTACACATGCGTGAGAAGCACTGCACTTGTGAATGGCCCCGTAGTCTTCTGGGACCTGTCAGGTGTCCCAGAAGACTACAGGGAGAGAGGGCAGACAACTTCTGCTTTCCGATCGCTTTAGGCGGTCACAGCAGAAGTGGGAGCGGGTACCTGTCAAATTCGGGTACCCACTCCCCAAAGGTGCCAATCCTTAATGGGGGACAAAGGCTTAATGCGGAACTTCCCCTTTTGGGTGGAGCTCCGCTTTAATATCTGGGGCAATCAATGTGCTGTTTTACTGTGTTATTTACTGGGGAAACATACTGCTGTGTATTTCTCTGATATGCGGGGCAATACACAGCAGCATGTTACTGCTGGCAGGAGAGAGACCTGTGTTGTTTACACACAGATCTCTCCCCTTAGTGTTCCTCGGCAATCGTTGGGTGCCGGAAAGGACTCAGGTGATTGACATCTGTAGCCACCAATAATGGAGCGGGTAGGGTGGCGCACAGTGCGCATGCACGCCCTCTACTCGGAAATGCAAATCACGTTTATATATATATATATATATATATGTGATTTTGCGCAGCCCTACTGCCCTGTAGCAGTAGTTCTACTATTGCTATGGCAGGGAAGTGGTTAAATCTGCTAATCCATGTAACACTTCCCTCTCCCCAGACTGTCAATATTGCTGTCTGCTGTGCTTCCTGTGCTCCTTCCTCCTCTAATATAGGAGATGTGTTACTGACCAGATCACCAGGTGAAAACAGGGAAAAGCCTAAAAAAGAAAACACAGCTATGACATCTGACGATTGGTAAACTGCAATATATTACTTTTTTTCTACTTTTGGATTAAATAACTGCTTTACCAAATCATGATTGAATAGAAGTTTTAAGCTGGAGTTGTCACTTTCATTCTTGTTTTGCAGTCATTCTCTGTGAATGAGAAGAGGGAACGACTGTAAAGGGTGAAGAAGTGGAAGAGCCCTTGAAGTCACCTGGTGTGTGCAGTCAGTATAGGAGATCCAGAGACAGGTAGAGGCCAGTGTGAGCTCCGCAGTGCAGAGACTCCCAGAGATCAGGATCGGAGGAGACGCTTCGAGGACGATCTCCCAGTCTATCTCCGACTCCCTCTCCTCTGTCCCTGTAGGATCAAAGAACGGACAATCCCTTTAAGTTTTTTTATTTTTGGAATCCTCCGCAATGTGTCCCCTCTTTTGTTTCGGCACGCTCTGAAAAGTGAATGCAGTGGGCGGAGCCAGCCGTGTCTTCTCCCTCCCATCCCCCCTACCCCCCTGCAGCAGCACATTCCCCCGCTCCTAATGTGACTTCACTGTCCTTTGATTTGGAAAATCGCTGATTGGCTGGGAGCGGTGGAGCGCATGCAGAGCAGGAGCTTTGTCTGAGTTGGAGTGAAGTTGTCCAGATTTTTAGTCTGGAGTCAGCAATCAAGGGGGTTTAGTCTGCAGCGGAGCGGAGAGAAGGAAGGAAGAGGGGGAGCGCAGATGCTGAGGACCCCTCTGCAGTCCATGGATGGGAGCCGGCACCTCAATGTCATCCTGATGTGATTCCGACTGCTGCTGCTGCTGCGATGGGATTACTGCCGCTTAGTAGATCGCGCCGGTGAGCCCCAAACTTTGCCCACTGCCCAGGTCAATGCCTTCCTCTGACTTGGATCCAGGCTTTCCTCTCCTGGCTGGCTTGTGGATGGATCGCTCCGGGAGGATCGGGAGGAAAATGAAGTCGGTCTTCTTGCTGGCTCTCTTCTTCACCTTCCGAGGTGCGCTCTGTAAGAACCTGAAGTACAGCATCTACGAGGAGCAGCTGGTGGGCTCTGTGGTGGCCAGGTTGGCCGAGGATGTGGCCGATGTATTGTCTAAGTTACCCAACCCTTCTTGCCATCCGATTCAAAGCCATGCAGCGGGGGAACCCTCCTCTGCTCCTGGTCCAGGAGGACAACGGGGAGATCACCATCGGCCACAAGATCGACAGGGAGCAGCTGTGTCAGAAAAACTTGAACTGCTCCATAGAGTTCGATGTCATCACCTTGCCCACCCATCATCTGCAGCTGTTCCATGTAGAAGTTGAGGTACTGGATATCAATGATAATGCCCCCCACTTCTCCAGGTCTCTCATCCCCATTGAGATATCTGAGAGTGCAGCTGTGGGCACCAGGATCCCCCTGGACAGCGCCTTTGACCCTGATGTTGGAGAAAATTCCCTCCACACCTATTCTCTTTCTGAAAACGAGTATTTTAAAATCGAGGTGAAGACCAGGACCGATGGCGCTAAATACGCAGAACTTATCGTGGTCAGGGAGCTGGACAGGGAGCTTCAATCCAGCTATGAGCTCCAGTTGACTGCTTCAGATATGGGGGTGCCCCAGAGGTTCGGCTCAGCCATCCTTAAAATAAGTATCTCTGATTCCAATGACAACAGCCCAGTTTTTGAACAAAAGTCGTATGTGATCCAGCTACCTGAGAATTCTCCTGTTGGGACCCTGCTCATTGACCTCAATGCTACAGACCCAGATGAGGGTGCCAATGGAAAGGTGGTCTACTTATTCAACAACAACGTTTCCCCCAAAATTACAGATACCTTTAGGATGGATCCAGAGAAAGGTCAGCTGACTCTAATGAAGCAAGTGGACTATGAGACAACTAAATCATATGAGATTGATGTCCAGGCCCAGGACATGGGTCCAAACTCAATCCCTGGCCACTGTAAGATCATTATCAATGTTGTGGATGTGAATGATAACAAGCCTGAAATCAATATCAATCTGATGTCTACTGGCAAAGAAATTGCTTATATTTCAGAGAGTGCACCTCTGGATACCTTTGTGGCCTTGGTAAGGGTGCAGGATAAAGATTCTGGACTCAATGGGGAAATTGTATGCAAACTACATGGCCATGGGCAGTTTAAGAGCTGCAGAAGACTTATGAAAACAACTATTTGATATTAACAAATTCCACGCTGGATAGAGAAAAAAGGTCAGAGTACAGCCTGACTGTAATAGCCGAGGACAGGGGGCTGCCAAGTCTTTCCACAGTTAAACATTTTGCAGTACAGATAAGTGATGAGAATGACAACCCACCACAATTCCAGACAAGCAGATATGAGATTGTCATCGTAGAGAACAATTCACCTGGAGCCCATATTACATCTGTAAGGGCTACAGATCCAGATCAAGCTGAAAATGGACAGGTGACATATGTCATTCCCGAAAGCTTCATTCAAGGTAGTTCCATAACAACTTATGTGACTATTGATCCTTCAAATGGTGCAATATATGCTCTCAGGGCCTTTGACCATGAAGAAGTAAATCAGGTTATCTTCACCGTCCAGGCAAGGGATAGTGGAATTCCCCAGCTTGCCACCAATGCTACAGTGGTTCTTACTGTTGTTGATGAAAATGACAATGCCCCAGTGATTGTGACTCCTACTCTGCACAATAACACAGCCAAAATTGCAGTCCCAAGGGATGCTGAAAGTGGATATTTGATCACTAAAATTAGGGCCACGGACAGAGACTCTGGCATGAACTCTGAACTTAGCTGTACCATAACATCCGGGAATGAATATGACATTTTCATTATAGATCCCAAATCTTGTGAAATCTACACTAATATGAGTATGGAGAGTTTCCCTTTCCAAGACTGGGAGCTTCAAGTGTCAGTTCAAGACAAGGGGACACCTCAACGTACCACTAAAGCACTTCTTAAATGCCACATTATTGAAACTTCTGATGCTGCTGGCAGTACTGAGGCTAGTTATGTTAACCAGGCCTCAATGGATGTCTCAATGATCATTATCATTTCCTTGGGGGCTATCTGTGCAGTTCTTTTAGTCATCATGGTCATTTTTGCAACAAGGTGCAACAGAGAAAAAAAGGACAATCGATCTTACAATTGCAGAGTGGCAGAATCTACATACCAAAATCACCCAAAGAGGCCTTCCAGGCAAATCCACAAAGGGGACATTACTCTAGTGCCTACCATGAATGGTACACTGCCAATTAGATCCCATCATAGGTCATCTCCTTCCCCATCCCCTACTTTGGAACGTGGCCAGATGAGCAGCAGGCAAAGTCATCACAGCCGCCAATCACTCAACAGTCTGATGACAATATCATCTAATCATGTACCAGATACATTCGCACTGGAACTGACTCATGCTACGCCTGCAGTGGAGGTAAATAAGGCCTATTACCCTTTAGGTATAATAACTTCTCAACAAAGAGGGTTATGCTTTGTCTGAGCCTAGAACACTTAAGCCACAGGATTTTTTTTGTTTTTACTGCAGTGTTGTTTTATATATTTATACATTTGTTCACTATAAGAAATTAGCATAAATTTTAATTTCCATCAAAATAGTTTATTACAACTTTATGCTTTATTTTGTTATGCTAACATTTATTCTTTTAGTCTTTTATACTGCTGTTTAAAGTCATAAATTAAACTTAGGTTCTGCCTATTGTTTTGTCACGTTAGATTGTATTAATGTATTTTCCATCATTTTCTTTGGCAGGTATCCCAATTGCTCTCCATGCTTCACCAGGGACAGTATCAGCCGAGACCAAGCTTTCGTGGAAACAAATATTCAAGGAGCTACAGGTGAGTTAAATCTGCATTTTATTTTTAACGAACCCCAACTGAGTGTTCTTCTTTTACGAATGCACCAACATGTTCTCTTTCTGTTTTGCAGATATGCCCTCCAAGACATGGATAAATTTAGTTTAAAAGACAGTGGACGTGGCGATAGTGAAGCTGGAGACAGTGATTATGATCTGGGCAGAGATTCCCCAATTGACAGACTTCTGGGTGAAGGGTTCGGAGAACTTTTCCTTACTGATGGGCACAGAATTCCTCCAGGTAGGCTTGCTGATATTTCCTATCTAATTAATGTACTGCTTCTTCCTGGCTGTCAGACCGATACAGCAGGGAGCAGAAAGAGCCACACATACGTAGGCACAGCACAACAGAACCTTTAAACTCTGCTCTCTCCCTTGCCTGCTGCTGCCAGCTCACAGCAATAGAGCACAGCTGGTATAAGAGTGGAGACAGCCACAATATTGAGCATTTCGCCCAAAGCTAAATTGGTTTTAACTAAGCAGTAGATTTTAGTCTCATGCGAATGTGCGCTTAAAGGTTATGTCAGGGAAGTTGGTGCTACTTTAGTGTCAGCAGAGGGAGAGAACTTGAGCAATTCCCCAAAGGTCCTTGGTTTCTTAACCTTCTTCTGAGTAGATCAAAGGGCTAGTTTCAGGGGTGGACAAAGAAGACAGTGTCCTTGGTCCATGTCACAAACAATGCTTCCTAGTCCAGAATATACCTTTTTATAAGGTTTGATCTTACACAAAGCATTTCCTGGGGCCGTGCTTACTTGTCTAAGGGCCAGTTTTTAACTATAGACCAGTCAATGGATGTCAGTGATTTCTCTATGAATGTATGCTTGTGCATCCTCTGATGAAGTTTCATATTAACATTTGTCATAGGATCTAACATGTGATATGGTAAATCCTAGTTTATTAAAGTGCATCCTCGTTACTTGTGCTGACATAACCACAATCAAATTGTGAAAGTATCACATGATGCGTCAGTGACTGGGTAGGGATTCAGTATTTCTCTGTGTGTGAACAATCAATACTTGTTCACGAATCAGCAAGAGTAAGACTTATTTACCACATGTCCCGATTCTAGGAATTAAGGGGCTGGCTTGCCCGCAATAGCTGAGTGATTACGAAAAAAAAAAAAAAAAAAAAAAACGTGTCTTTTATGAGACCTGGTACAGATGATCCTTGTGAATGCATTGCAGGAGCACACCATCCTTCCAAGGTCACCCTCTGCAAAGGCACCGTTCTGATTTTACTGCCTTTATTTTGTTTATGCCCTAAACAATGCTCTTTTATTAAGCTAACAGCAGCTAGTATGGCACCACATAAGTTAAGTATCATAGAGGGGTGTTTACTAATCTATTTAAGAATGTCAGCTAGTGTAAAGGGTTCTTTGGAGAACAATGAATTGGGGGCCCTCCCCCACAGATAGTGACAGCATTCCCTTCATACAGCCCCCAGCTCCTGCTGTCCTCAGTTGTAAGGGTCCCGCAGATGGAACCCATGTTCAATGTGGTCGTATGCCGTATTTCAGCCAGGCCATCTGTCCCCTTGTATTGTTTTCTCCTGCCTTTTCATCCTATCCAATGCACTGCTTCAGTAATTTGACCATGGTGTCTGTTAGTTTCGTCCAAATACACCTGGGCTATTTTTCATCCTTATTTAATAATGCCACTTGCTCAGATATTTGCATTAACTCTTTCCTGACTCATTCTACCACCATGCTGAACCAGGCTGCCCATCTTAGTCACAAGAAGTCATGTAATTGGTTAGCAGATGACTTATATAAAAGGTAGCAATGCTGAAAAATGTTATAGTTTGCAAGAAATAATATAAAGGTATTTGGTCTCAAAAGCGACTCCAGTGAAGAGGAGGAAAAAAAAAAAAATGTAATTTTGTTCTGTGGTATTGTAGCAGGTGCTGTCAGCAAGGAAATGAATTTATGATAGCCATATATTAGAAAATGAAAAGTGATCCTTGGAATATCTTATGCTGAATCTATGTCCAGAAAAATAATGTAAGAGAACAGAATGCACAGGATGGAAAATGGTTTAGGAACAGAGTGGCACAGAGTTACAGATATAAAAGAAATTCATACATTATAGGTGAATGAGTTATATGAAAACTAATTTCGCTGGTGCAACAAGGGTGCTTTACATTTTCAAGCATGTGAGCTTGTTTAATAAAAGTGATACACAATTGCCCATAGTAGCCATTCAGAAATCACCTTTGTGCTATGACTAATTCATGTTGATTTTTGGTTGGTTACCATGCACTACCGCATGCCATTTCTCTTTTCACACAAAAATCAGAAGGTAAGGCATCACAATAGCTCAACAGTTAAATTTTGCTCCCCTTAGCTCTGGTCTGCCCTATTATCTTTCATAATACATTTATTGAAATGCTAGTTTTCAGTTTTTCTGTGTGTCCATGTGACCTCAAAACTCTGATGCTACTCTATACAATGGAGGCTCTGACAACAATGCTGAATTGCAGGGAGCTGTGGTGTCATCCCGCTCCCAGGGTTGCCAAGCACAATCAGCTGGGAGAAGAGTCCCTGCCCACCAGCCCAGAGAGAGATGGGAAAGGGCCAGGAATTTCAGATCATGTGGCCACATATAAAATAAAAAACAGTATTTAGGAAGTGATTTATTTCAAAATGTATACAAGGCGAACCAGAACAACATTTAACTGTTAAGTTATTTTGATGCCTTTCCTTCTACTTTAAAGTGATTGTAAACCCTCACCTTGTAAAACAACTCATTCACTTTAAAATAGGAATGAAAGGCAAAACATTTGTGTATAGATATAAAAAAAAATATATATACATTTTTTCCCTTTTTTATAAGTGATCACATATCCTCTGTTTTCAGCTGGATAAAAGCTGAGGGAAGAGAAACAGCAGCACACTGATCTTCTCAGTGAAAGGCTTTGAGGAGGGGGAGGGGCTGGTGCATGTCAGTGGAAGTCTGATCATTGGAGTAGAGCACACTGTACTCCCAGCAGAGCTAGAGAGCTGACCATGCTGTGTTCGCATGCCTAGTGTGGTCAGTTTTATTAGGAAAGCAGAGGGACTGGCAGGAACACCAGTGATTTCACACAAAAGGAAGCAATACAAAGGGAACAGGGTACATTTTCATACAAGTACTGTTCATACTACAGCAATTACATATTAGGAATATGAAATTTTGTGTTTACATAGTCTTTAGGCAAAGCTAAGATGTAACAATAAATCTACCATTATTAAATTCTTTAGCCAAGTATGAGTGTGCACATTTAATATAGTAATCTAATCCTCCTCTTCTGGGGTCCCTAGCCGGTGGTTTTAGTTCCTCCTCTACTTGGTGTGCCACTATAGGAAGCAAATCCCTTTAGTGGCACACCAGCAGGCTCAATCCTGAGCCATGATGCCTGGGTCTATAGACACAGACAGTGTGGCTCGGCCCGCCTTAGCTCCTTCATCACAGGACTTGGCTGACAGCAGTAGGAGCCAGTGGATCCCACTGCCTTAGCAAGGCCTGTAAAAGCTGGGAGAGTCGATACAGATGGGTACAGCGCTGGATCGAGTGAGGGCTCAGGTAAGTATGGGCGGGGGGTATATTATTACCTATAATAATACCTATCATTTTTTACCTTAATGCAGGTCTAAGTAGTTAGCAATTCCACCTGGCAGCATTAGGGTCGTTGGTTCGAATCTTAACCACAACACTACCTGCTCAGAGTTTGCATATTCTCCCTGTGCCTGTGTGGATTTCCTAGTAGTTTAATTGTCTCCTGTTTAAATTGGTCCTAGCATGTGTATGTATGAATGAGAGTTAGGGACCTTAGATTCTAAGCTCCTTCAGGGCAGGGACTGATGTGAATGTACAATATACGTGCATAAATTGACAGCACTATATAAGTACATGAAATAAATAAGAAAAGTTTAGACTTTAAAACCACTTTAAATAATGATAGTGTTGTGGTAAGATACCGTACAACATAGCTGTATAAAAAGTCCTAACATTTCTTTCTTTTTTTTTTAGTTATGAGATTTTGTACAGATGAATGCCGTGTTCTAGGACATTCTGATCAATGCTGGATGCCACCACTCCCTTCGCCATCAGCAGATTACAGAAACAACATGTTCATCCCTGGAGAAGAAGTTCAGGCCCTTCAGCAGCCCCAGCCAAATAACCAGCAACCAACTCAGCAGCAAACCTCTGCACTTGAAGAGGAAGTTCTTCCATTAGATCAGAATGAGAAGAAGAAGAGTTTTTCCACGTTTGGTAAAGAGGCCCAGGATGAGGAGTCAGCTGAAACTTGCACTTCTTCCCTCCTTACTGAAATGAGCAGTGTTTTCCAACGCTTGCTACCTCCATCTTTGGACAACTACACTGAATGTAGTGAAGTTGACCGCTCAAACTCTTTAGAACGAAGGAAAGGGCAAGTGCCTACTAAGACTTTAAGTTACCCCCAAGGGGTTGCTGCATGGGCAGCTAACACACATTTCCAAAATCCCAACAATGTTGGTGGACCTTCTTTAGGAAATCATTCCAGTGCACAGCCGTCCTCTAAGTGGTTGCCAGCTATGGAGGAAATACCAGAGAACTATGAGGAAGATGACTTTGACAATGTCCTCAATCATCTCAATGATGGTAAACACGAACTTATGGATGCTAGTGAACTTGTGGCAGAAATTAACAAATTGCTTCAAGACGTGAGGCAAAATTAAAAGACTTTACATCTTTACTTTTTCCATATTAATGGAGTTTTGGAACAATCAAAAAAAACTTATTGACAGTTGCATTTATAAAAATGTGTCGGTGTATGTTAAATATTCAAATGCTGTATTTTCATATGTACACAAAACAAGTGTGACTATTGCTATCTGTATTTTAAAAATACATTTGTATCTTATATTTATGTGTAATTTAAGAATAAATAAATTTCTATTTTTGTATTTCGTATGGCATGTTTTACTGCATGAAGACATTTTAGGATATTCTTGATTTATAATTACAAATGAGATGTGTGTAAATGCCTGTAAAAACATCAGGTCAAGTCAAGTTTTTCACTTTTCTGAGGCTCTCTAGTTTAAATATGCAATCCCCGTTTGAGGTACAATTTTTTTATTATTAAGGTACAATTTTTTTTTTATATTTACCTGCCACTTGTAGATATGATTACTACTTGTTCAATTTTACACTAAAAATAAAATGTTGCCACAGTTTATATACATTTTATCTTCTGTTGTTCTTTACAGGATTTTTGAGAAAACAAAAAGGTAAGTGAAAATTGATTTGCTAACCTGACTACTTCTACAGCCAAGCCCTTAAGCTCTTTCCACTGCCCTTTGTTAAGAAGTGTTGATGTTATCATGGGTGTGGAACAAGATTGTCATTACAGAACCCCACAGTTATATAAAGCTCATGGGCATGTTCTTTCCTTGCCTGGGGTACTATTTAAGAATATGCGCTCAATTGCCCCCAAATAGCTTTTTCCAACTTCAGCCTCATCAAGACTAGGAGCTAGGTGTGGTTCAGCCTCTGGACCAAGAGTGATTATGCCCTTTGGGCTGGCTAGATGTTATGGCTTTTATACTCCTTTCACCTGTAATCACACTGTAGCACTCCTTTAGGGGGATTTGGTAGTAAAGGCCTAAGATAATTACACCCCACAGGTAAACACCAGCAACTGGTGTTGATTCCTGACTGCCTTATTACTATGTGCAGTCATTTTCCTTTGAATGTTAAGGGGGTAATTAACAGATTTATGTACGCTTCAATTCTGACATTGCAACCACTATTATGTGCATGTGTCTACTATGGTTTCAAAGATTTGAAGAGTGTATACAACCACAAAGAGCATTTGGGTTAATGTGCCAGATGCATCCGTCTATAGTATCTCTCTGTAGTTTTTTCCATATATATTGTAGAACAGTGTAGGGGCGGGCCACTGAGTTTTTATAAGGCTTTGCAAAGAGGTTGGTTTTTATTATATGCTTACTTTGGCAACATTTGCAAGAAACACTGGAAAACTGCTATTGATGTTGAAAAAAAAAAATAGATATCTTGTTATATTGCTACAGAACCATTTAAAGAGGAACTAAACCTTCCTTTTTTGGCCAAGGAAGCTGCCATCTTGGCCACTGTTTGATCTGCAACTGCCATGAGCCGCACATTTGATCAGTTATGGTGCCAGACATTTGATGGTTTGACAGTTTGGTTGAGAGTGCAAGCAAATGTGACAGTTATCATTCCAGACATTCCCGGAATGTAACTGTTTTTTTTTTTTAAAACTGTTAAATTGATGTGTTTAATTTTGCTTTAACCTTTTCTAAACCTCTAATTTTTTTATGGTCATCCCCGTAATTGCTTTGTACAGCATACTTGGATTCTTCCTGACCTCTGTATGCTGCCTATGTACTTCAGTTACGTAGCACAATGATAAGGAAACATCCCTCTCTCTGTGTATATTCATGAATACATTTAACACCTGTAACTATATAAAACAAAAATGATTACTCAGATACAGCATAGAAGAAGTACAGCATGTTCCTGTTATGTTTCCATCTTAAACATAGATAATATATTGGTCTTCCTTTTACATGAACAGTGTTTCAATTGTAAGAATCCAGCAATACAACACAGTGGGGTTGATTTATTAAAGGCAAAAAGACGGTGCACTTTGCAAGTGCAGTTGCACTCCAGAGCTTAGTGAATGAAGTGAAGCTCTGCTGATCTCCATCATCCAGTTATGTGCAAGACATTTTTTTTTCTTGCTCCTGATTGGGTATACTTTATAAAGCATACTGGCACTTCACTCGTGTGATTTACTATGGCAGCAGTGTTTTTTCATTACTGATGACAGTTTTCATTATCTCCTTTGGGACATGTCTGTGCGCTTATGACTGCAGTGTTCATTCATACTGTATAAAGAGAAGCTTCACCACATTCACTAAGCTCTGGTGAAAATGAGTACAATTGCACTTGCAAAGTGCATCATTGTTTTGCCTTTAGTAAATCAACCCCAGTAACGCCAGCCATACATTCTGCCTGTTCAGGGACTGGACGAATTTTGATCCATGTTTAGCCAGGCTGATTGTACAGAATTTGATCTACCAAACGACTTCTGTACAACTGTAGATTTTTCCCCGCTTGATCAGCGCTGCCAGCTATAGCCAGCAGCACTGATCAGTGTATTCTGACGGGAGGGAAATCTCCTCACTGTCAGAATACAATAGCTCAACATGGAGGAATCCCCCATCCACACTGAATGAATGAGTAGGGGAATCATCTTTTTTATTTTTTTTAACCCGCTGGTTGAATGTAAAAGAAATGACTCATCTATGGGTTGCTGAAGTCTAATATATCATCAGGGTAATATACTGTATTGTTATGCTCTTTCTGTCCCTACAATGCTCTAGTCTTTGCAATAATTATATGATGCCTATTTGTATCTACTGAGGTGTGTGCATGAAAAAGCCCTAAAGTGTTACTAAACCCAGGACCCTACATTCACTATATCTGGTCTCCCACAGTGCACACTACATGGAAATGCAATTATTTTAGTAAATATAAACTGCTAAATATCTTTTCTCATCAGTAGTTGGAGCTGTCTTGTGACTTGTCTCAGTGTTCAGCAGAGCACTGGTTAAAGCTTGTAGGAGGAGCTTTCTTTCTGCTCTAGGAGTATGCAGAACCCCTGACCTCTGTCTGGATAGTGCTGATTGCCCTGTGCTGATCACATGCACTTCCCAAGAAAAAAAAAATAACAGCAATACACACCAAACTGAGCATGTGCACAGTGTGTCCACACAATATGTCTTATCAGGAGATAATAGGAGGGCACTGGAAGAAGGGGAGGATCAGATAAGTCAGGATCAAACAGCATTTTTACACAATGCAGAGGATTAACCTCTTAGGTTCCACAGTGAGTATATCAAGCATGCTTTACCGCAAGTAAAGACTGATTTACCCCTTGCGTATTGTATTGTATTGTTACTGTACTGTCTCCCATTATAATGCACAGCGCTGAGCAAACAAATGGCGCTATATAAATCCTGTATAATAAATTTAACTGTTGTGGGTTTAGTAACACTTTAATGACCTCTGTCTGCAAAAATACCACTTACCTTGGCTGTTTGTTGTGGATTTAGTAACCCTTTAAGGCCCAATTCCAGCTAAATTGTGTTTTAGATTTGGAAGCTTTCTTTGTCCCATTTGAGTATGTTCCTTCGCTTGGTAGGGGATCAGAGTCAATGGAAATTATGGGAAATCTCATTGAAGAGATTCATAAATCTTTTTTTTTAGTACAGCGAGGGAAGGTTAGAACCTCTGTCTGGTTTTGATTGCTGGTGGCCCAAAATGTAAGGTGCAATCCTCCAAATCTGCCTAAAAAATAGACTGGAGCTGGCAAAAATATTAACATGTAGATGAACAAGGCTTTTAGTTTGAGTTACAATCTCCAGCATTTTTAGCTCTTGTTAGTTAAAGATATCAATATTAGTCAATTAATGAATAAATATGAATCATTATATAAGTATGAGTTTGTCTATTTAATAATAGATTATAAAGATAGAAAATTAAAAAAAAACCTTCTGTCACAGTGTGCATTTGCCTCAGTTACTATACAATCTGAATCATAGTTTATGTGGATGATATACATAAACCAGATGAACAGGAAAGGTTGTGCCCAATAATTGATCGAGCCCGTAAATTAATTTGGACATTCAAAGAAATATTGTATTCATCACATTAACCAACAGTGTTGGCATGTCTTGAAGAAAGTAATCTAAGCTGTTTGAACAACATTTGTATGGATGGCACACGCCAAATCTATATTCCAAGGAGTAACATATGGTGATTTGTGGGGGAGCTGGCAGCAGGGAGATTGCTGACTATGTTAAATCATCTGTCCATTGATGTGATGCATATATTAAATTCACTCCATGACTTGTGATCAGCCTGTTGTTTATGCCTCATGTCGCTTTGAGGTTAAATTCCAAGGAAAGAGTTGTACTGTGAGTTACCCTGGACCTAGTTAACCACCTTTAAGGGTTTTGCAATATTTATGTTTAGTGTCTTCTAGGAGAAATGTGATTATTTGAAGAATAAATGTAGGGAAATATTTTACAGCATCTATAATCTGCACAAATGGCCATACACAGAGTGTGTACAGAGATCGCACAGTGTTCTCTTATGTTAGCTTTTGGGGACACTCTTTTTTGTGATGTATCTGCCCTCAATGGGATCTTGGGGACAAGGAGTGGAATGTTAGCCCAGTCTTAAACTGCAATATTGGACTGTTTTGCTGTGAGTACTAGGACTTAAGAAATATTTACTATATTCGTTTTACATACTGTACCCTACTCGTTTGGTTTGGTGTGTGACTATCAAGAATATTTACTTGCAGGGTGTTTGAAAAAGAACAAATGAGTACTGTCCATGATACTTTTTATTTGCAATAACATTCCAATTTTCAGGCTAAGAATGAGACGTCGCTCAAACTGACCTAGTGTTATCATGTATGGCCTCAACCAGCACTGCCCTGGCCACGCTCTCTGATGCGTTTCATCCTCTGTAGCCAAGCACCCCCCAGTGGGCGTTGCAAGGGGAGTGGCTGGAGCAGTGCTGGCGTGTCCATACACCGTGATAACTTTGAGCAGCATGTCATCCTTGACATAGTTATACTTCTGGATTAGTGCAATTAGATGCTTGCTCCCATATTCTG